ACCCACCCCTCCCTCCCAACCCCGGCTGCCCCTCTGCTGGCCCCTTCTGCCAGAATCATCTTGGAGCAAGGTTCAGGCCCCAGGTGTGCCCTCCAGGTGTGCCCTCCAGGGCACCTCCTCTCCCCACACCAACCGTCTAGGTCTGGAAGGAAAAGGCTGTTTGTGTCCTAGGGTCACCCCTGCCTATCCTGGAAACAAGCCCGTTTCCTCCGAGGGGGTGGGGTGGGCAGGGCCACAGAGATGGGGATGGGTGCTGGGAGTTCCTGGGGGGAGCCCGGGTCCCCATGGGTTCTGATGTTTGACAAAGGGGTTTCTGGCAAGGCTCCTTGGCCCAGGCCCCCAGCTGCCCTACCCCCAAGCCCCCCCCACAGCTGGATGGGGACAGGAGGGAGAGGCTGCTGTGATGGTGGGGGCTGTGGCCCTTCTGCTCTCTAGGCCTTTGCCTGGTGGCTGCACACCCCCCAGGCTCCTGGCCTCGCCCCCTGTGCGGGTGGTGCCTCCATGGTTTCCAGAGGCCCCAGCTCCTCCTGGGGTGCCATCGCGGTCCCCACTGTGCAGGCTCAGATGGGTCAAGCCATGTGAGACCACAGAGCCTGGAGAGGAGCCCCGACTCGCTTGGAGAGGACGCCTGGGCCCCCGGGTGACAGGTGACAGCGAGCCCATCACCACTTCCTGCCCGAGCCTCCTTGCCCCCCAGCTCCCTCCCCACCTGCTCCACAAGCTGACACATGGCCTCTAGGGCAGACGTCCTGTGCCCCCCACCCGCCCACCCAGAGCTCCTGAGTGTTTGCTGAGCGGATGACAGGGATGCAGATGGGTCTCTGGGGAGCCCAGTCAGCAGGACAGGAGAGAGAAGGGAGGTGAGGCGCCCCACTGGCTTCGCAGGTTTAAAGGGCAGCTGGGTGTGGCCATTGTGCTAGAAGCTGCGGTCAGGCCCCCGCTGCATTCTGACAGCCCTGCCCTGGGAAATGGCGCAGAGTGAGCTCACACGGCCAGTGTCTGAATTCCTCCTTTATTGGTGACAAGTGCAACCCCTCCTCCTCCTCCCCACCCCCTCCCCTGCCCAGGCTCCACTCCGCTCCCCTTGGGGTGGTGGGGAGGTCCCTTCTTCCTCAGGACGTCTTCTGTGTCACCTCCGCTGCAGGGACGGCTGGCTCTGAAAACGTGGCCCCAGACGGGGATCCAGGAGGCAGCTGGGGAGACCAGGCCTGATCCAGGGGCTCCCTCAGGGGCATCCTGTGGAGACAGCCAGGTTAGGGGCTGGAGACGGCTGCCCACCTGGGGAAACGGCCTCCTCTGGTCACCAGCGCTGTGTCACCTTCCCACACCCTGGCCCGCTGCCGCGACCGGTTCCTGCCACAGACCCAGGGCGCCCCGCGGGGACCGGAGCTGGTGGGCGTGGACGGCGGTGGTGCTCACCAGGCCTGCAGGGTGGACGTGCCCGGCCAGTGCAGGCAGAGGCGGCCCTCCGCCGGCGTGGTCCGGCTCGTGCTGTTCTCTGTGTCCTGCTCGCTGCCCCCCGCCCCAAGTCAGAATTAGTCCTGGCGGTGGGGGGCGCCCACCCGCCGCCGTTCCCCCGCTCCCAGGGCTAGCGCCCGCAGCCCCTCACCTGCGCTTCCCCACCAGGCCCTGGAGCAGCCGCTGCAGCCGCGCGCTGTCCCGCAGGCGGCTGAGCTCGCTGGTGAACGTCCCATCCGAGTGCCGCGGGGCCCTGCGGGGGGCGGGG